CAAATATAGAAATCTTCTATTATAAAATCGCGAATGACAGTTCGATGGCCATCAGTCAGCCAGTGTAACCAACCTCCGATAAGTAAAAAAGGAGTGTCACAAAGAGCTTCTTTTCGAAACTACTTTTAGTGTCGAAAAGACTTCGATATGACATCAAAATAGAAAAAAACAATTAGAGCATGAATTATAGAGAAATATGTTCAAAGTTTGTCGTATAATAGGTTCAAATACTAAGAAATGTCCAGAACCCAAGATATTCCCGTCTGAAAATCACTCTTTTGAATCCCCCATAAAGCCTAGTACTCATAACTGCGAAATTCGCATTTTTTTGACATTGCTTCGTTAAATTGACGTTTGATACACGCATAAAACGTCAAATTTTCAACGCAATGTCAAAAAAATGCGAATTTCGCAGTTATGAGTACTAGGCTTAAGAAATACATTGCTGTCAAAATTGTTGAAATATGTTTAGGAACCCATTTTAAATTTCGCGCCCGATTTTTCCTAACCCAACTAATATGGTGAATTGCGTGCTCAAAGGCGTCAGCTGGAAAGCGGCTTTTATGTATTTGCATCACAGGGGCGAGTTCAGGAATGACACACTCAGTGTGAGTGTGACACCGGTGCGACGCACTAGCCGTTCATAAATGCTATAGGCACACCGAGTGCGCGCACTCTGTGCCGTTCAGAAAGTACTTTGGGCGGCGGGCGCGCTCGACGGTCACACCATAATTTTTTGGTGTGACTGCGGTGTGATTGTGTCTATATGTCAACAATGTCAACCATTCCTCCCATAATCTCAATAATCCCACCAAATATAAACAAAACACAAATAAGAAATAAAGTTTTTCCTTCAAATTAAAAAAATGAACAACAAAAAAAAGTAATCCTAATAGATTTTGTGAAATTTTTGAGGAGATGCTAGATTGGTCACATCAAGCGTTCAGAAATTCATACAAAAGTTGTCGCCTAAGAATTGTCATTTCAGTCACACCCATAAAATCGCACTCACACCCGGTGTGTTATTTCTGAACTCGCCCCTGGCGAAACCCGTCAAAAAACAGAACAAAACTGAAAACTAAGGGCGAGTTCTCATGAGCGTAAGTTGACAGACCTGGCGTAATCACGTGATAAAATGGTTGGGTTTTATTGGTAGATTATTCGCCATGCTGGATGTTTTACCAATCAAATTACACCATATTATCACGTGATTACGCCAGAAATGTCAACTTACGCCCATGAGAACTCGCCCTAAACGTGTTGGGAGCATAACAATCCGACATCATTGCATGGCGTTCGGAAATTTTTCCAGTCGCCCTTTCAGTGTTGCCAATATGCGGGTAATTACCCGATTTGCGGGTAATTTGACTGAAAGCGGGGTAATTTTCTAACATTTTATAAATCGAGTAATAATTGATCTGATTTTAAACTTTATTAAACATGATGGAAAAATTTCCTTGACAAAATTAAACAGAGGCAAAAGATCATATTATTCATTGTTGTGGAGAAATTGGAGTTAATTCATATGACACGAAAGACCAAAGACAGAAGTGAACAAAAAAATTGGGAACTGGAACGTTGTTGCAGTGATGGTAACATTTTTTTCACGATTTCCCTTTTAAGACAAACAAAATTCCCTAATATTCCCTACCAACCAGAAGAAAAAATCCCTACAATTTCCTCACGTTTTATTTTATATTAGGTTGGCTCATCTTTACACGTTATTCGTTTTCCTGTTTCAAGTTAGGACATAAAAAAAAGAAGTATTCTTACGTAATGTGGGTGGCCCAAATGCAAACGCAAACAGATAAAGTAGGGATGTCTCCTAGTCACAGATCAATCGACAGGGCCTGCGAGTGACGTCACCACTATTAGCAGCATAGCAGCTTATAGTGGTGACGTCACTCGCAGGCCTCAATGGGATGTTTGTGATTCAGGTTGTGCTTGTTTTTTCTTAGATTTTAAATGTAGATAAGGCGATTTTAACAAAATTATAACTCTTAGGAATTCGTTTTTTTTTTACCTATACTGTTTTAAACTCGGGTATAGCAGTCCTATTAGATTAGTGTTCTTGTCCTAGTCCTAACAGTCTTTTCTCGTGAGCAGTTAGATCGATAATCGGAATTTGTATTTGTTGACAAAATATTTCTTCGTTCTTTATTATACAATATACGACCAATCTCTGAATTTCCCTACATTTTTCCAATTCTCGAATTTCTGTCCCTCTTCCCTACACCAGAAAAAAAAACATCAAATTTTCCCTACTTGTAGGGACATTCCCTACGTGTTACCATCACTGCGTTGTTGTAAAGTCATCAGCGACATCAGCTGTATGACATTTTTGCTAAATTCTTGCCAACATAATGTCAAAATGACATTATGTTGGCAATACAATGTAAAATTGTCAACGCTTTCAAATTTTTTGTGTAGAAAAGGCTTGTGTTGCCAACATAGTTACTAAATTTTTGACTTGGGGAATTATCTTTAAAAAAAAACAGACTTTATTAATTTTTTATTTATTTTGTCACTCTAATCATTCCTAGATAACGTGACAAAAAACTGTTTCTGCTCCACTCCAACTCCGTGCTGAATACCCGAACCCAGCTAATGAAATTCGTTTTGACTGGTTTGTGATTTTTGTGATGCATGTATGCATTCTTAAAATGTCAATAAAAAAAAAATTGGTTTGTTTATTTGTGTTGTTCGGAGCAGCACCTCCTGTTTTGGGGCGTTCTTTGTGTTATGGCAATAGTTGTATTCCTTTCAAGGGTTTGAAACACTCGAGCTACTCGCTCCGGAGTTTAGCAGCCCCCGATTCGCAGGGAACAGATGCGTGGTGCAACAAACACTTTTCGAAAGGAATAAGCGCGTGAAGCCCCGGAGCTGTTCCGGAGCTCCTCCTAGGTGTGAAAGGAATACAACTAATGAACTGGCGAATGTTAAGCCTACTTTTCATGAATCCGTTTTTCCGTCAATTCGATGATCCGGAGGTATTCCTAATGGTCCATTATTCTGGCGCCAACATAGGCGATTTTCAGCCTGGAATGATTATTTATCGGTAAATACCGTGGTTATTCTTTTGGTTGACAACTTTGACAGCCAAGTGTGACGTCATAGCCCCCCACCATTCAAGAATCATAATCCAAGGAACTGACCGCTGAAATGATTTGGTTATAGCAGTGTAGGATTATGTTTATTATTCTTATTTGTTTTTTCGTTTCAACAATAGTTTTTTGTTTAGGTACAAAAAATGGAGCTGAATCTCTCGTTACTCTCGTTTATCGAACAGATTTTCTTTGGGGATGATCTAAACCTCGATCTAAACATGGTGAATTGCAGTGAGTGAGTGAATGTATACTTCTTCCATTGTGCCAGGCTACAACGCAACTGCAAAATCACAAAACACCAATACAAATTCCAAAAATAATAACAATAACATCAAAAAGCTGTAACCAAAGGCGATTTTCAGCCTGGAATGATTATTATTTGGTTATAACCAATGCATTTCCGCCGTCGCGGTTTTAACCAAAGTAGGGGAAGTTGTGACGTCACATATCAGCTGATTTGCTTTTGGTATTTACCACTTATAACCGATTATAACCCAGCTGTGGACTTGGGTTAATCTTTTGGTTATAGCTTTTTGATGTTATTGTTATTATTTTTGGAATTTGTATTGGTGTTTTGTGATTTTGCAGTTGCGTTGTAGCCTCTGGCACAATGAAAGAAGTATACATTCACTCACTCACTGCAATTCACCATGTTTAGATCGAGGTTTAGATCATCCCCAAAGAAAATCTGTTCGATAAACGAGACTAACGAGATATCAACTCCATTTTTTGTACCTAAACAAAAAACTATTGTTGAAACGAAAAAACAAATAAGAACAATAAACCTAATCCTACACTGCTATAACCAAATCATTTCAGCGGTCAGTTCCTTGGGTTATGATTCTTGAATGGTGGGGGGCTATGACATCACACTTGGCTGTCAAAGTTGTCAACCAAAAGAATAACCACGGTATTCCAGGCTGAAAATCGCCTCAAAAGATTAACCCAAGTCCAAAGCTGGGTTATAATCGGTTATAAGTGGTAAATACCAAAAGCAAATCAGCTGATATGTGACGTCACAACTTCCCCTACTTTGGTTGAAACCGCGACGGCGGAAATGCATTGGTTATAACCAAATAATAATCATTCCAGGCTGAAAATCGCCTCATATTGGACTAATAGGATTGATAGGAATATTTTCGGATCATCGGATTGACGGAAAAACGGATGCATGAAAAGTAAGCTTTATGGTTATTATCTGCCAAATCTGAAATAATACAGCTCAGTTTAATGGCGTTTCCGATTGGTAGATGTAGTGCGGAACTAGTGCAATTTTTTCTATTTCTGTCTTTTTCTTCTACAGGTCGTTTAAAAAGATGCAAATACACTCAGTGCGCACTGAATCTACCAATCGGAAACGCCATAAGTTAGTGCGACACAAACAAACAAACCTCCTAATGTAGGTATCAGCCAAAGGTATCAGCTTTAAATTACACCCTAGTCGGGAGTAATCGGAACTAGAGTGCTCGGTGCTCGCACCAATACGTGAGAACCACCCTTCCGAACGCCGAAAACCGTGTGATTTCTATCCACATTCGGCCTTTTCGGACACGGCAGCTGTGTGAGTTTTATACGACACACGAGCCGCTTTCCAGTGACGAATTTTAAGGAGCTACACACCCGAAGCTTCATACTCTGGTGCTCCAAACAACTGTTGTGTCACTGGAACGCACACTCAACTTAAGGCGTCGTGTTTTTGATGCACCCATAAAATTGCTGGTGCTTGAGAGGGCGGGTGAGAGGAAAAACGAACAGTTCATTTGCGCGAAACTCTAATGCACTGGAACGCCTATAAACAGTCTGGGGCGCTCTAGAGCAGCTCAGAAGTACTTAAAGTGCGTCACTGGCAAGCGACTCTGGTTCTCGAACGCATCCCTTGTCAGGAAGCCGAAAGCCTAACCTAACCTTACTAACCTAACTTTAAAAAGTAAACAAAGTAAACCAGTAGTTAACAGTTTAATTTGAATAATAATAAAATGGATATCAATTATTTAAACGTTAATTTAAATTTCCGAACAATAAAGCAGGACATTTTGAAAGGAATTTACCAGTGTTCAGAAAGAGGACTTCTCCAATCCCTAAAATGGCTCTCAGAGTTAAATTTTGCATTGAATCACATTGAACTGATTCCAGAAGAAATTCCAGTCTTAGAAGACGATTCCGGTAGTGAATATTCTACGTATTTACTAGCAAAATCCTATTTCAATCTCAAAGAATACGATAGATGTGCTCATTTCATACGCGAATGTAATACACCGAAAGCTCGATTTTTGCACTACTATGCCAGATATTTTTCGATAGAAAAAAAGAAATTGGACAGTATGACTGATACAAACTGCCCACCGGATCCCACTCAAAACGAAGCACTGAAATCCCTGTGTTCTGATTTGAAAAATGGTTTTTATGAGAATAAATTGGACGGCTATTGTTCCTATCTTTACGGTATAGTTTTAAAGAAACTGGACCTTAAATCGTTAGCCATCGATGTTCTCATGAAAGCAGTTCAAGAGGAGCCGATATTGTGGAGTGCCTGGTACGAATTGGGTAAACTTATAGGCGATAAAAATAAAATTTGTTTTAATAATTTGCCCGAGCATTGGATGAAGCACTTTTTCCTGGCTCATACTTATTTGGAACAACTGAATAACGACGAAGCTGTGCAGATATACCAGAAGCTATACGAGATGGGGTTTGAAAATAGTACTTATATAATGTCACAGATTGCACTTGGACATCATAATAATAGAAGTAAGTGATACTGTATTTTCTATTATTGAATTTTATTATAAAAACTTATTATTTCCTTTATATTGTTTGGTAACTTATTGGAAAATCTTAAACACATATAATAGGGGCTCTTCTTAGTCAAAGTTAATCTGTGGATTGGGTAACTCACATTTAGTGTTCTGGTGTTGTAACTAGTGATGTGAACAAAGGAACGTTCTGATTGTGCTTTCGAGAACGTTCGCGCACGGAAAAAAGGTTCTTGCTGAATATTACCTTGGAGCACGATAGAGAATATTCAGCACATTTTCAAGCACGATCTTAACCAATAAAATCACATGACACCAACCCCCAGCCTATAAGATGTTTTCCGCTGATGATTCCGCTTAGAGGTTTATAAACTGTGATTTTAGTCTGATACTCGAAAGGAATGGGTGAGCTGGTGCCTAGTGGCACCCTACATTAGAACGCCAATGGTCACCTGACGTCACACCTGCTTTTGCCATATACTTCACCACCTTGCTCCTCATACGGAAAGTGTCAGATTAAAAACGACGGAAAATACCCTCTGAGGAAAATACCAAACCTGTGCTGCGCGTGCCTCCTGTGTGTTAAATTATATAAAATTCCGAGAGGAAAGTGTAATGCTTTTAACTTTTACAGCAATAAAAAACGAAATGGAAAAAACATTTATGCATGCAAATTTTACCAGATAAGTAGAAGATACCCGACAAATTAGAATATTTATTGTTGTCAAACGAATTATTAGATTAATTATTATATTTTCCTAAGAATTTTGAGAATTTTCAGCATATTTATGAAGAATTTTCAGAATATTCAGAACTTTCACGAGAAATTTGGGAATTTTCGGAAATTTGAGAAAAATCAGAATTTATTTAGAAAAATGTTTTGTTTTATTCAGCTGCTGATAAGAGGCGTAAATTCTCGGGTCCTGCTCGTTTTTGCTCGATTATTCTCGTTAATTCTCGATCGTGCTCGGAGAACGTTCTCCTAAAATACTTGCTCGAGCATTTTACATCACTAGTTGTAACTCTAGGTAGTCTGCAGTTCAAAAGAATCCCGATTTTTAAAGAAAAAAATAAGCGCTTCATAGATATATACACCATACACTGTCATCAAACCTTCGCTCTTAAACCGTCCTCGGCAGCTATCCCTAAATTGCATATTCTTCATAGTTCTGAGAAGACGCTTTTGAACTACAAAAATCTTTTGAATGTCAACATTCCCTCCCCAAAAAATAATTCTATACTTTAGGACCGTTTTTTTGATACATTATTTTAACAGTTTTGTAGTCCATATATCTACTCACAACTCTGATTCCGTAACATACAGAATTTAGTCTTTTCAATCAATAGTGTGTTTATATGCCCTGCCCAATCCATAAATTAATCAATATTTACTTCCAGGAACTTAACACTATCCACAATATTTATTTATTTATTTATACCTCGATTTATACCCAAGTTTATACCATAAGTATCAACAGCTACAAACGGCCATTATAAACACTCGCTTAGTGTAGAAATACAATGTACAATTACAAGAGTTAAAACTAAGTTACAACAAAAATTCAGACACTAATTTATCATCAACAATTTTCTTAAAATTCCTTAAGCTAATCATGTCTATATCTACGTCAGAAGCATAGTTATTAAACATTTGACACATCTGATATATAGGTGATTACTTAAATAAATTTGTTCTAGGGAAATCCAGAAGAAAAACTCTTCTGTCTAACATTCACTCTATTCACTACAAACGGTAGTTCAACCAAGAATATCAGGACTGTCATTAATTCCCTTTATCAACATAAACATAGCACACAAACATGCTCTTGTTTTACAATATTCCAAATGTATCCTATTGAATATACCCCGGAATATACCATACATAATAAAATTCTATTATCACAGCCACAGCCCTGTTGAGAATAGAAACCAAAATTCTTAAAAAGCATATACTTTAGAAATTTCCTCTTTATTCCCTCAATAAATGATTTCCATACATTATAGGTTGTGGTGACCATATAATACTATTATTGTACTCTAGTTTAGGGAACACTAAAGTGTCAAAGAGCTTAAGGCTCAACTTAAGGCTTACGTCAATGCTTAAATTTTTGGTATTTCTTATCACAAAAGTACAAGAAAAATCATGAGACTAGGTACAAAATCGGGGATCAAGAGTTGAATGTCGTTAACTCAATCAAAGACCTGGGGATATATTTCGATTCTGAAATCACTTTTAGAGATCACATCAAGTACATAGTGGGTAAGGCGTTTCGGATGTTGGGCTTCATTTTCAGAGTTAGTAGGCATTTATCTGTAAATTCACTCCATTTACTGTACTGCTCTCTTGTAAGATCTCATTTAGAATATGCTTCAGTTGTTTGGTCACCATTTTATAACATCTATAAGGACCAACTTGAGAGAGTTCAACACAAGTTTATAAAATACTGTGCCTATAAACTTGATATGACAGATAGACTAGAAGATGTCCAACTTCATCTTTGTCTTCCATCACTTGAGAACAGGAGAGCATCTTCCGACTTGTACTTCATTTATAAACTGATTAACGGTTACATAGACTGTCCGTATCTTCTCAGTAAAGTCTTTCTGAAAGTACCATGCCGACCTCTTAGAAGAAGTGAGGTTTTTTATGTACCTGTTCATAGAACTAATTATGGGGGTCATTCTCCTCTCGTCCGTAGTCTTGCTCTATTAAATGCTCACCCTGAGATTGATCCTTTTGGAGGCTCACTTGGTAGATACTGTAACAATATTTTACTGTACAAATTGTGATATTGTGCTATTATTTGGTTTGGACAATGGACATAGATGATTTATTATTGGTAATCTAGTTATAATGATTATTGTTATCTTTATTTTGAAATGTATATTTATAAATGGGGCATCCCGTATATTACTTTAAATAAATAAATTAATTAACAAATCTCATTATTCTCTGTGCATGTATCGTAGTGACTATTTGGTCATTAAATGACATATTTGTATCAAAAATTATACCCAAGTCACATTGAGAACTCACTCTATTCAACAAAACATCCTTATTACTATATGGATTGTTGAAAACATTATGATTTAACGAGAAGGACATACAGGAGCACTTATTAACATTCATATTAAATCCATTTCTATCACACCAGACAGCAATACAATCCAAGTCACACTGAATACTATCACAGTCATCTTGGGACGTAACTTGCATACAATTCAAAGTCATCAGCAAACAGCAACGTTTTGAACTCTTCCACCACATCAACAATACCATTTATTGCTACCAAAAAAAGTAGAGGTACCAGATTAGACCCTTGGGGAATGCCTGATGTACTTCCATAGACTACAGACTTACATCCTTTCATTTCCACATACTGGTTCCTTTTAAAGAGGTAGGATTTAATAATATTAATTAAATAAGGGGGAACATCCATATCCATCAATGCTTTCACAATTATATAGTGCCTAACCCGAGGCCTAACCTTATCAAATGCCTTTTCCATATCTGTATAAATTACCTCCACCTGAACTTTTTTATTGAACGACTCATGGACAAACTGGGAAAATTCAGCTAAGTTAGTGAAAGTAGATCTTTTTGGTAGAAATCCATGCTGAATCGGACAATAGTTCTTGATCTGTTTTTTAGGTCCATTTTTATAAATAGGAATTACCTTACTCAGGATAAATGGAAGATTGCAGGCTTAAAGTGAAAATAAATTTCAATGGTTTAACCTCGGGTTTAACCAAAGACTCACTACACCCCTTAAGAATATATGCCGGCAAACCATCTGGACTCTGGACCAATAGCCCTATTAGCTTTCATTCTCTTGATAGCATTGAAAATTTCTTCATCGGATATTAAAACATCACAAAAATACGACTTTATTTCATACAGCACACAAGCACATTCAGACGTTCATCTCCTCCATGATTTCTTGACTCTCTTTTTGGTCTTTCAAAAACGACCAAAAATACCTAGGATTTAACATTAAGCTACTCTCCACATCCAGCAAGTACCTTTTATGTGCTACCCCAATTTAACATTTAAGCTCCTTTCGCAGGGACCTGTACTTATAACCCCAGAAATAGGACTTAAAACGTTTAAATTTTAAAAAATATTTACATTTCAATTTAGTGCCTATTTGGGTGGATTTTGGTACACATCACGGAATATACTATATGGAGCCACATCATAGGGATTTCGGCAACGGTGAAAGTTACAGGGTTGGTTAAATTAGGGCGAAGTTGCGTAATTTGATGCTTAACAAAATGCCGCGTTGATATTTAGGATATTCCGAAGATATCCGGAAAAAACCGAAATTTTTCAAAATTCTTTTTATTTTTCCTTGACTTTATTTGAAGTGATATTTTAAAAAAAAAATTCACTTCATCATAGCCACTTTTTCTTTCCTACAAGATGCTAGCTTCAAATTTAAAATGTGACGTTTTGTCTTTGGGCCACCATCATCAACTTCATTTTTTCAAATACAGATCCTTATTTTATATTTTAGATTTTATAAGCTTTTAATATCCGAAAACCAATGACGTATTGCACTTATTCGAAAAATTTATATTATTGGCACTTTCCGTAAGAACTAAATGTGTTAGAGAGAGACAGAGAAGAGAATTTTGGTAGGAAATTACTAAAAAGTAAAAAAAAAATTTTATCTACGATTATTCAATAATAGACGCATTTTGCTTGTGATAGTAACCACATAATGTTACTCATATTACGCACCTGTGGAATATGAATCTCATATTCCACACATGTGGAATAAAGGTACATTTTTATACGTAATCCATAACATGACAGCATTGACAGCGTTCCAAAATAGAAACGAGCTTGTTTGGATTCGAGGGTTGTTTCACCTACCCAAAAATGTGTACACCACTGCCTAAGTTAGGCAATGTTTAATAACACTGCTTAAGTCAATGCCTATGGCGATTGCTGCGAACATTGCTGTCAATGCGGACAATGTCGCCATCAATGTCAAGAATGCCAGCATCAATGCCGTCAATTCCGACATCAATGCCGTCAATTCTGACATCAATCCTGTCAATTCCGAAATCAATTCAATGCCGTCAATTCCGCGATCACTGCCTCAATTTCCCTTATTTATCTATTCAATGCCCACAATTCCTAAATCATTACTTTCACTGCTGTAATTATTGCCGTAAAGGATAACGCACACCTGACATGGGATTTTTGGGCTCTATGGATTTTGCCCATTTTTTGATATGTTGTAGAATATTTAATTCTTAACAACCTTTAAATGGAACGAAATCTTGTAGGTATTACGGTCTTTAAGATATGAGCGTTGAAAGATGAACTTTGTTGCGACTTTTTTTGTGGAGAGTATTCGAAAAACTGGTGTTTATTAGTCAAAATTTTGACAGGTTGACATATTTCACGTCACTAACAAATGTCAACATAGGCTAAGGCCGGGACTGCACTAGCGCCAACATTGACCCCAATGCGGTCCCAGCCTTAACCTATGTTAACATTAATTTTTAACACATGCCATGCTGATGAGACCTGATAGGTCGAATTGCGTCTATGAATGGAAAAGCAGAGAAAATCAAGCCAAAAATTTTCTCATCATTAATTTTTAAGTGACGTAAAATATGTGAACCTGTCAATATTTTGACTGATAAACACCAGTAGCACCAGTATCCCGTATACTCTCCACACAAAAAGTAGCAAAAAAGTTAATCTTTCAACGCTCATATCTCAAAGGCCGTAATACCTACAAGATTTCGTCCCATTTAAAGGTTGTTCAGAATTAAATTCTCTACAACATATCAAAAAATGAGAAAAATCCATAGAGCCCAAAAATCCCATGTTAGGTGTGCGTTATCCCTTGTACACCAATGCCGATCGTGAAACACCCCTCGTGGAGAACTAAAAAGCGGATCATTTTGAAAATTTGACAACCGGGATGAACAACCATAATCTACACTTTAAAAATATTTTTGTTTATGCGGTGTTGACGCTTCTACTCCAAACCAGTGGCAACATCGCTATTTCAAATAGAACACCCTGTATGTGATTGCATATTTGGATTCTACGTAAAATTCTGAACAGATTTCATGTGATATACCCTATTCCTAAGTGCAATTGTTTTGGAAATATTGACAGTTGAAAATTGACATTTCGCAACTTCGACAGGCTGTAAAGCCTGAACGGTTAATTTTAGAGGAAAACCGATTTTACATTCCTATCTTAGATTTTTATAAATTATCATTTGACACCAACTTTGAATTTAAGCCATGATTAAAAATTCCAATTAAATTTAATCTCCGGTTAAAGTTGGTGTCAAATGATAGTTTATGAAAATCTAAGACAAAAATGTGAAATAGGTTTTCCTCTAAATTTAACCGTTTAGGTTTTATAGCCTGTCTAAGTTACAAAAAGTCAATTTTCAACTGTCAATATTTCCAAAACAGTTGAACTTAGGTATACGGCATAACGCATAAAATCTGCTCAGAATTTTATGTTGAATCCAAATATACAATCACATACAGGGTGTTCCATTAAAAATAGCAATGGTGCCACTGGTTTAGAGTAGAAGCGGCAACACCGCATGGTCAAAAATATTTTTAAAGTGTAGATCATGGACCATGGTCGTTTATCCCGGTTGCGAAATTTTCAAAATGATCCGCTTTTCAGTTCTCCATGAACGTCTAATACGCCATCCACCGTGGGACACCCTGTATAAGCTCGTCATTTTTGTTGGATGTGGTGGATAATGTTAGGAAAAAATAAAATTTCTTAATGTGGCCTTATTTGGAACAGATACCTTAACCAAAAATGATAATTTAAAATTAAAATATGTATTTGATTTACCTACACCTACCTACTACCTTTTCATTTCCTATTATTATCTATTTTTTTTACCGAGGAAAATTTTCAGTTTGAGTCTTATTTATTTTCAGAAAATTTCTCCTATTAGTTAGGTATTTGAAATTTCTGTCTTCACTTTGATTACATTTAAGGGTTGACTAAGGAGTCTATTTTTCTGGGACATAATGTCACCCTTTAATTATTAAGATTTATATCATTATTTTCTTTCTCATGATACAAATCAAATAGGCAAGTTTTAACTTATATTTGATGTCAATTTTAGAATTAGAGGAAGCAATCGAAATGTTCAAAAAAATCCTGGAACTAGATCCTTATAGACTGGACAATTTAGACACGTACTCAAACTTACTGTACGTGATGGAGAAAAAAACCGAATTGGCAAATTTGGCTCACAAAGTTGTGGAAATCGACAAATACAGAGTGGAAACTTGCTGCGTAATCGGAAACTATTACAGTCTCAGGTCGGATCATGCAAAAGCAGTTTTGTATTTTAAAAGGGCTCTCAAATTAAATCCGCAATTTCTTTCGGCTTGGACTCTAATGGGTCACGAATACATGGAAATGAAAAACATTAATGCCGCCATACAAAGCTATCGATATGCTATTGGTAAGTGGATTTTTTTTCTGTATAAATTACAAGAGTTTTGATTTAATTTTTTTTTTTTAGAAATTAATGTTAGAGATTACAGAGCTTGGTACGGTTTAGGGCAAACATATGAAATTCTAAAAATGCCCTTTTATTGTTTGTATTATTATAAGCAAGCTCAACAATTGAAACCCAATGATAGTCGGATGATTATTGCACTGGGAGAAACTTATGAAAAACTAGATAGGACAGAAAATGCCCTAAAATGCTACTACAAGGCTTGCAGCGTTGGCGATATTGAAGGGTCTGCCCTTATTAAACTGGCAAAGTAAGAAATACATAATATCATAAACATTTGAAACAATTTTTTTCTCTCAATTAGGTTGTATGATAAATTAAACGATGTTGACAACGCTTCGGCAGTTTTCATTGATTACTGCCTCAAAGAGGAAGAAAAAGAGGAAAAGGTACCCGAGGAACAGACTGAGTATTATAGCGCTTTGCAATATTTAGCTAATTATTATTTGAGAAAGGGAGATTTGGATGATGCTTATACTTATGCGTATAAATGTATGGAATGTGAAGAGGTGGGTGATAGTTGGAAATTAAAATACATTTTTGTTTTAAGTTTCATAGGAGTTTCTTCCAGCTTTTTCTATTTGTATGCAAATTAATTTTTTCTAGTTCACTAAAATCAATAAATCATTCTTCAAGCTTATGACCCAAGCTTAAGTTCTAGAAAACAATAAAATATTTTTTTTTTTCAGACAAAAGAACAAGGAAAAGCTCTACTGAAAGCCATTGCATCCAAACGATTAGAACAAGATGAAGAACCAGAAAGCAACGAAGGATTGCCCTCCAAAGTCGATCCCATGGATCTTACTTTTTAATGTTTCAAACATGTAAAATATTAAAAAAATAAATAAATACATGATTATTTTTACCAGTCGAACAGTCGGGCGTGTCGGACCGAATACCACTCAAGAAAAAATTATGTAGGCAAAATTATTCTCTCGGTTTTATTCAAGTTTGTTGCTTTTTGGTTATTTCGCTCATGAACTTTTTGACAAAACCACTCGCCTGACCACTGGCGCCGACTACATGAGCAAACTCTCATGGGTGCGGAGGACCCATGGGAGCTTTCGTGGGGAATGCGGAAGTACAAACGTGTTTAATGGTCATTCCGTTCCATGTGGTAGTATCAGTATAGTGTAATCTAAATTCACACAACTTTGTATAAGAATTATAGAAGTTGTATTGGTATTCTGTCCTTTCGTTATTTGTGGTCAGTTCTATGCTATATTATTTTATGCTGCTTTTCTTCATCTCTATTCTTTGATAATAATCGAGACAGTCCGGAGTCCGGCACACAACGGAAAGTCTGGCGCTTGCGCCGTAAGCCATATAATTTAGTTTTACGCGTGGGTAGGGATGGCAATGATATATTATCCATTCACAATCCGATGTCCACAGGTACAGGTAAAATTTATCACCATTCAATGCTATTTGATAGGGAAAGGTGATAAATTTACCTGTATAAAAAAATTAATATGAAAAAATCTCAAGCAAAAAATCTTGATCGACGTGTTTTTGCGTTTTGTCCACATATTTTATACAAAAGCTGTAGCGAATTAGTTCCAGTTAAAGTCCCCACCCTGTATATCGATACATTTTAATCGAAAAAAAAATTGATATAATCTTTTCGATATGTCGTAACTTTTCTAATATCCTTCCAAGGTTCCTACACTACACTACTAGGTATGCATAATCTGCCGATTTGCCCGATTTTGATGTTAGGCAGCGTGAGTCACAAACGGAATCGAATATTTTATGTGGATAGCTCTTTTTTTTTGTGCTTTCCGAAAATAGTGACTTGTTTTGAGACCGTATTGCGTATTGCAAATAAACAATACAGAAATAACATGCGAACTGACGAGACGCTGATGGCTGATGCCCTGTCAGGTATGACGTCAAAAACGAATGGAGATAACATGTGCATACCCAGTAGAGTGTAGGAACCTTGAAGCCTACGTTCTTGTCACTGCCTCCTATACTTAACAAGCCATGAAGTTGGAAATGACGGCAACGTCGCGTATGGTGCTATTTTGTTATTGGGTTATGTGTTTCTGTGTATTGCTTTCATTGTGTATTGTTGCAGTTTAGTATTTTTGTGGGCATTATTGACGAAAAAGTGGATAGAAACACACCAATATATTGCCCATATTTAGTTGATACCTGTTCCTTTGTGCTTTGATTGCAATTTTTTAGCAAATGGGTACAGGAGCAAAAATGAAGGTAAGGTGAGATAAAACAATAAAAACAATATTAATATTTGTCTGCAAGAGCATATGTCTCGATATATTACCTAAGATATTTAAACTTGTTCCAGATGCCATGAAACTAGTGTGTTCCTGGGTGCAAATCGAACTATTAGGAGTTCCTTAAAAACTGAAGAAATGCAAACATTTTCATTTCCAAAAAAATTCTGAATTGCAAAAAATGTGGATGAAAGCAATACACCAAGATAATTATACCCGAGATTATACAATAACGAAAAATTCTGTGGTGTGTTGTAAACATTTTGAAGAAACCGAAATAATTAGATTTGAAACAAACAAGGATAAAGGCGTAGTTCGAGAGTTCAAACTGAAACGTCCAACTCTTAAAAGTAGGTACCTCTTATTTTCGAAAATCAGCTCAAGTATTTGAATGGACTTGTCTTCCGAAAAAATCCCGAAGAAAGAAAAAGTTAGATTTTCAAAAGACATACTGAAACATAGGCCTATACCACTTTAGACTCTAGAAATATATTCATTTAAATCAATTATTTACTGTTCTTATTTACACAAATAGTTATATTATTCATTGAATTACTGTTTTTGGCCCTTTAGTACAATAAATTATGCATTTTTCGTGATTCATATTATTAAAATAAAAAATATATATTTATAAAAACAAACACCACCAGCACCACTTTGGCGGTAAGATTGCGGTGTTGCCTTTTTAACTTCATGGCTTGTTAAATGTAGGAGGCTGTGTTCTTGTGCATAATTCATTGAGTGACAGTGACAGTTGACAGAGGCGGCTAAAATAAAACAAAACGTCAGTTAATAAAGCGTGTGCGTAGCAGAAAAGACACTTTGCGCACGTGTTAGGAACAAAATTTTTCCTACGAGCTTCATATTAGGTAGAAAACCGACGAGAAAGAACGTAGTGTACGGGGCCCTTTAAAGCGTTTAAATTTGATAAGAAAGTTTGTAAACACTTGCATATAAATAGAGAACAAATCTGACAATAGGTCGGCATACACACACGTTATTTCGCGCGGTTTATCTTGGCGTGTTGGGATGTAGCGGTTTGCATGCGCGAAAGAACGGCGTGGCAAAAAAAGCGTCATGTTCCATACACTTGACAAAGTATTCAAATGATTTCGCACGTGATTACGCGCGGCATATCAGTTAGAAAGGAAAAACCGTATATGTATGGGTAAAAAATGTCATTTATCGTGTCGTTTGGAAGTGCATGTTGTCATGTACTAATTTTCAACGTGATAGCAAAGAATATTATAGACTAACGTCTCTAGAAGTCTCGTCCGTATTCTTATTTTTGATACCTCGATGGACGCCGGCTTTTGCCGGTGTGGACGCCGGCTCGAGTCTATTGCCTACTGTTGCCGAGTTGTCAGTGCTGTTGATTCGGCGTCCAGCCAGCGAGTCAGTGTCCGTATCCGCTTCTCTGAATGAAGTTATTGTGGCGTGTGCCAAGAGGAATTAGGAAGTTAAACATATATTTTCTAACAGATTTTATATATAATTTACCAACGAATATCATAGATGGATGCAATTCTATCATTTTCTTTAGGTTTTTTCAGTATATTTGGCGAATTTGCCACTTAGAAATTTATGTTTAATTTCGAAATATGAATTATTTATTTTTTTTCCAGTAGATCGGTTTATTTACCAACAAGTAAATTTTGGGGTTGGTCAAGTTTCCGCCCGTATTAATCAAATTTCAAAAATAAATAACCCATAATAATTTTGGACACTATGACTAAAATATTGCACGCCCACACAACACAACGAAAACCAGAGCAGTTCTGAAGTGAAAACTTCTTTAGAATAAATAGTTGCGAGTGATTTGAAACTCGATGAAACGAAAAAGCGACCCGATGAAACGAAACGAAATAGCAACACTTTTTTAACACGCTTATATTAACACACAACACACAACAAGAACCTGGAACAAGCCAAGTGAGCTGGAACAATTCTGGATAAATCTGGATGAAGTCTGGAAAAGTCTGAAAATCTCTGGAAACGTCTGGAAAGAGCCTGGAAATTTCTAGAAAGGGTCGGAAACATTCTGCCAAAGGTTCCAAAAGACCTGGGGATCATTTTCCAGAATCCGGATCAGTCTGTACAAATCTGGATAAGGTCTGGATAAATCTGGATAAAGTCTGTAAAACTCTGGATAAGTCTGGTTATTGTCTGGAAATCTCTGGAAACGTCTGGAAAAAACTTGGAAATTTCTGGAAGGGGTTGGAAAAATTCTGAAAAAGGTCCCAAAAGACCTGGGGATCATTTTCCGGACTCCGGATCAGTCTGAACAAGTCTGGATAAGGTCTGAATAAATCTGGATAAAGTCTGTAAAACTCTGGATACGTCTGGATAATGTATGGAAACATCTGGAAATGACTTGGAAATTTCTGGAAAGGGTTGGAAAAATTCTAGAAAACGTCCCAAAAGATCTGGGGATCATTTTCCAGAATCCGGATCAGTCTGTACAAGTCTGGATAAATCTGGATAAATTCTGTAAAACTCTGGATACGTCTGGATATTGTCTGGAAACGTCTGGAAAAAACTTGGAAATTTCTGGAAAGGGTTGGAAAAATTCTGGAAAACGTCCCAAAAGAGCTGGGGATCATTTTCCAGAATCCGGATTAGCCTGAACAAGTCTGGATAAAGTCTGGATTAATCTGGATAAAGTCTGGATTAATCTGGATAAAGTCTAGAAAACTCTGGAAAGCTCTGGATAAGTCTGCATAATGTCTGGAAATCTCTAGAAACGTCTGCAAAAGGCCTGGAAATTTCTTGAAAGGGTAGGAAAAATTCTGGAAAAGGTCCCAAAAGACCTGGGGATCATTTTCCAGAATCCAGATCAGTCTTTAGAAGTCTGGATAAATCTGGATGAAATCTGGAAAACTCTGGAAAGCTCTGAATAAGTCTGGATAATGTCTGGAAAAGTCTGGAAATCTCTGGGGCTGACACGCTTTTATAATACATCGAACTAAAAAGTGAAAAATAAATATATTTTGAAAAAACTAAAAAACACGCTTTTATAGTAAATTGAACTCAAAAGTGAAAAATAATTTCTAATATAAACAGAAAATATTAAAGAACAAAAAATATTAGAATTATTGTCAAAAAAGCGTGGGGTGCTCAATGTATAAGAAATGTGGAACAAAGAACCCCAGCGTGTATTTTAGTTTTTTTAAAATATAGTTATTTGCGTTCTTTCTCAAGTCTTTTGGAGGGGGAGGGACGCCACTGTGTATGTTAGTATGTGTGTAATGTATGCAGTTCGATGAAGGTTTCACTTCTACCGGGTGTGAACTGCACAGGATTTTTTTTTTAAACTGGGAGCAAACTTGACTGTTCACCCTTGTTTGTCTAAAACTTGAAAAATTAATATGCTACTCGGTTCACCTAAATTTGCACAATTTCGCATGCCTATATTTTCAAATTTTGCACACTTTTCTGGGGAAAGTTAGAGTATGTTTTTATTTTTTAAATAATTCCCCAAGTCAAAAATTCAATAACTATGTTGGCAGCACAAGCCTTTTCTACATAAAAAAATTGAAACCATTGACAATTTTACATTACATTGCCAACATAATGTCATTTTGACTTTTATCTTA